CCCAACGATGATAATATACGAGTTAATTGGGGTGGCATTTTTACCAAAACTTGATATAACCCCCTAAATCGTGTAAAATTACTTTTTAAACACCTTAGCTCAGGTCAAAATGTACATGTAGCTGTAACAAATGTTCAGGCCCCTGTGACCGTAACCCCTTGAATTCATACAATCAAACTAGAGGCCACCATCGGCAAGTCTATTTGGCGGTTTGTAATGCAGGCTGTCTCTGAATACAGGGTTCAGGAACCTTTTACACAGGAGAGTTGGTAACAGAGGTATTTTGAGCAGGTTTAATTGTGTTTTCGGAGTGTTTATAGAAAACGTTTGCATTCTATGCCTAAGTATTAGGCTGTGTGCCACTGTACACATTTCAATTCATTTATTGACTTTCAGCTTTTCAGCTCATCAGTAAACATATATAACAATACATAAATACAGTGGCAGCACTGTAATACTGTAGTGCACAATGGACGGAATAAAGTTACATAAAGTTTAACATTAAATCATGCTTTTTCTTAATTGAGTAGCATCATATACATAATACTTCCGAATCCAGAACGTGTTTTTTTTCTGTGTAAAACCCGTATAGTCCGAATGTCTGGCCCACGGGACCCATGTCTCTTTTTATGAGCTTGTTGCTTGCTGCTTTTCTGGTGTTTATGACCAAGACTCATGAGCAGGGGGGAGGAAAGGTTACGACGTAGAAAAGACATGCAGGGACCGGTTGAATCGTCAACACGACATCTAATTTTTTGGTCTGACGGGGGATTTTGGGTCGTCAATTAGGCATCTTATTTTCCGTCGACCACAAGGTATTTACGGAGCAGTTACGTCGTCAATTATAAATAATATCGAGTCTTTTCGTGGACGTCATGTCAACAAGACATCGTACCGAGGCTTCGTATGGAGGCGGTGTTGTTGTCAACTCATACAGGGTTCTACAAATGTAACTAGACATTGGACTTCATGTCGGTAATATAGATCAAATAAGCACACGACAGCAGACATCAGCCGTACAAAATCAATCTATGGTATTTAAGGTAACAAGATTGGAGGAGGAAAGTATTCGTTGAATGCTGCATGACTGTTTAAAATTAGCGGCGACCCTTCAATTGCTAAACAAGGGCTACGTATACAGTTCGCAGATGACAGCCTAATCTCGCCTTGTCGTGGATAATGCATGAGACATAATATCTATTTGCATACAGACACGTATACTGAATTATTCATTCTAATAGGAGCACCTCGACGGACACCTATGCTTTTAAGGGTTCATGTCTTCAACTGCAAACAATTACACTAGAGAATTCCACCGCTGTTTTTCGTACAGAGTTATCTCCCAACAATTTTGTTTAACATTCCATATTTCCAATGAGGGGAACATGTGCGCGAAACACGACTGAAACGTTTGCAATTACTGTTTTTTTGGTGACGAAAACTTATCTTTGCTCCAGCAAAATAGTTCGAGTATGAACGAGTGCACAAAATATTTATTTTACTTGTTTCCTTATCAACGTTTCGCAAATCCTTTGTGCAAAATATATTTAAAGTCATTCATCGTTCTGTAATGTCTGATCGTTGNGGGGGGGGGAGTGATGGGGGCGGTGTTACTACTACATGTAGCTTATAATTATATTATGGCACTTGCTACATCTCGGCAGATTACGTAGGGTACCGGAATGAGACGAGATTAGCCGAATGCGCTTTTACAAATGCCCTTAACCTTTGCCCACCATACAACCCAATCGGGAACCGTCACCACTTTCCGTGTTTCCTCGTTTGCGGTAATTGCCGAAGGTTCCCGATAGCTTCACTACCTTTTTTTTGTTACCTTTGTAGTGCTACAAATTAAAAAAAAACACACACACAACTCAGAAACTTCTATATAAGATGTTTAAACATCGTCTCGTTCGTGTAAATACTGCAGGAAAAATGTTTGGCCCCTGTTGGGCTGCTTTTGACCTTAAATTGAAAGGTCTGCTGCTGTTAAGCCTCAGGACAATGGTCTTGAAGTATGCACCTCCCAAATGTGATGGAGATCAAAAGATCGGTAAAGACAACCCCGTCGCTCATATACGTGTAACCATACCGACTGCAGTCAATAAAGCTGTGCAACTAACCAGAACACAAACATCGATCAGCTTCAGTAGTACAATTGTAGACTGTGCAAACGATTCAAACGGAAATAGGCCGTTTATTGTGTTTCGTCAAACAATGACCTGCCTTGTATATACTGCCATGCATCAAATTGCTGTGCCTTGTATATACTGCCATGCATCAAATTGCTGTGCAAAACACCCGACGGCGTAAATGTATTAACGCATACATACCTGGTATCAAAACTCGTGCCTCTATTTATTTTACCCCTTCATCGTGCCTCCCTATATGTTACTTACACTCCACTAGCTAGACAGGTTTGTTTTTGTGGCATTTGAAGTCTGAGTCATAAACATTCAGTGTCAGGAAACATTCATCATCTACCTGTGGCTCGTGACCCAAACATAAAGGTAGATTATCCTTAATTACAGGTACGTCATTAATACGTCACCCTTAAAACTACTTACTAATATTATCAATATACATTAATGATTTTCATAACGTTTCACTACATAAGCAATTTCAAATTAACCATTTTTATATTAAATTTGAGCGAAATGAGATAGTTTTATTACTATTACATAATGACGTTTTCGCACGATCTTAAAGGCCATTTTTATATTGATCATCTATCAGCAGTTCAATTAAACTTTTTCTGCAAGCGTTAGAAGAATTGATAAGTCACCTGAAATCTGTAAATTTTAAAACGAAACCTAGCTTGAATTACAATGCGCTTATAAAAGCAACGCTTCCCAACTTCGAAATACAAGTGACCGGACATCTGTAAAATTTAACACGAAACATTGCTAGAATTCTGAAGACCATGCGCTTTACATTACCGCTTCCCGTCTTCGACAACCAAAGGGCCCGCTTTCGACACGCAAATCTTCTGTGCAGAAAAAAAGATGCGTGTCGAGAGCGACAATCCTTGGATTTCGAAGATGCATGCTGCCATATAGGAAGAGAACAAAAGAAGTCGCCGAGTCAGGATATGAGCACACCCATATAATTCCAGGACACAGGCAGATTTTAATTCACTGTTTTCTATATTCAACATAGAAAAGTAATTTTGGTTTTACACACACGGGAATGATACAAAATACTTTTGACGTACCAGCTCTCAGCTAAAATCTACTTTTCTTGGCTT